TTTCAATTAAATTTTGCCATATATATCATGCCAATCTTATTTATTTTTAAACTTACATATTTGTATTTATCAAGTAGATTATTAAAATCAATATATATATATCAAGATTGTTCTTCAATATTAATAATACATATGTAAAAACTTTTTAGTTCAAATAGATTTAGATTTACATACTCAAATCGTCATAGATTATAATATTTTGAATTTATATAATAAGCTTTTGTGTTTACTTAATCTTCTCACCAAAAATTTTAAAATTCGATAATCTTTTCGACGAATTTTATTTCAACTTTTTCATTATAAAATAACATCAATTATTCTCTTATTCGATAGGTGAGATAGATTACGACGATCTAATTGTAGTATTTTCATTCGCTTTCTGTAAATTGCAAGCTAAAACTTTGTGCTTCATTTGCTTTTTTGCAAAATTTGGGAATCAATTATGTGAAAAAAATCTTATTAAAATTTACAATTTTAGTTTGTAACTAATAATATGAGTAATTTGTCATATTTTAAGAAAAATAGTTATATATGTAGATATATAAAAAATAACCTAATTCAATTAGGAAAAGTAAAAAACAAATTATTTGAAATATTTGACAAATTTAAATTGAAAAAATAATATAGTAAAAAAGAGTCAAAACAACTTAATAACGGTGATACTTTTCTATTAGTTTTGTTTTTTTCACAGATTATAAAACAATTATAAAACTGAAACATTCAAATAGGAAAATGAGTAACTAATTCAAATTTTTATATAAAAAAATAGAGTAGTGAAGTAATAATATTTGTTCAAATGGATTTAGGTTTACATACCCAAATCGTCATAGATTATAATATTTTGTATGTATATAATAAGCGTTTGTGTTCTCTTAATTTTTTCACTAAAATTTAAATTTCGATAATCTTTTCGACGAATTTTTTTTCAACTTTTTCATTATAAAATAACATCAATTATCCTCTTATTCAGTAGGTTAGATAGATTACGACGATCTAATTGTAATATTTTCATTCGCTTCCTGCAAATTACAAGCTGAAGATTTGTGCATTATTCGCTTCTTGCAAAATTTAGAAATCAATTATGTGAAAACAATCTTATTAAAATTTACAATTTTAGTTTGCAACTAAAAATATGAGTAATTCGTCAAATTTTTAGAAAATAGTTATATATGTAGATATATAAAAAATATACCCTAATTCAATTAGGAATAGAAAAAGTAATTATTTTAAAATATATGAAAAATTTAAATTAAAAAAATAATATACTAAAAAAGTCAAAACAAATTAATAACGGCGAGACTTCTCTATTAGTAATCTTGCA